ATGAGGAGACCGAGGCCCCTTAAAAATACTAACAACAGAACCAAGTTTAAACCTCAGCAAGACTAAGCATAGAACTTGAGGATCAAACTCGGACCTAATGAGTCATGATAGCCCAAGATGGTTATTAACACCCGACAAAAATAACTAACCACTACACCCACACGGGACCTAGATAGCTATCAAAACACTACAAATACAAATTAAAAAAACCACAAGCAAGAGCACAAAAGCTGTACAGAGGTTCTAGGATTAATCTGCCGGCAACGATGCAAATTCCATCCAATCATTCACATCTTATTCAACTGTATCCATTTCTGATTGCAGACTGTTTTGAAAAACACATAGATTACGGGTCTTTCATAACCACCATAAGAGGTAAGATGAAAGCTGAATACTATCCTCCATGATGTTTGTGAGTCTGGATGCACAAAGGACTGTCCACCATGATTTGAAATTCTCTGTGTGCTGCTGCAAGCCTTCCCATGATAATGGAGCCAATTTCCATATGAGTTGAGCCCTTTTACATGAAAGAATAAATGCTCTTGAGTTTCTTCTCCTTCTCCACAGATCTTGTATGTTTGGTCTACTTGGAGACCTCTGGTTTTCAGGTTGTGCATAACTGGCAGAATGTTGTTGCAAGCTTTCCAAAAAAAATGTTTGATTTTGTTTTTAATCATGAGCCTCCACATTCTCCTTCTTGTTCTTTGGTTATCTAACTTTTGAAAGAACGGCCCTTGTGGAAACTTCCCATGAAATGAGGATGAACTTAGTCATAAAAATAATGTTTCGGGGATGAAATGGACATTTCATGTTTTTTTAACTGCTGAGGTCTAGATTGTTATGACATTGTCGTGAGATCGAATTATCTTGATTACACAAGACTATTTAGATTTTCATCCCGGGCTGAAACTTATGGACTCTAATCTTGGCTCCCACACATACTATAAGCCGATAAATAATGAGTTTTCTCTTAATCCTATACTATGTTGTCTAACGAACCTACCCTCTACTTTAATCATTTGTTAAATCGACCAAAAAATAATAATAATAAATAAATAAATAGAAAATGCTATAGTCCTGTTAGAGTACTATCTCCTCTGCTGTTTTAACCGTTAAATCTACATGTAATTAAATAAGATAGATGATCTAACAGTTAAAACACTGGACGGAAAGTACCTAAAAAAAATAATAATAATAAAAGAAAAAGAACAAGTCCATTTGGTGAGAAGACATACTGTCTCTGTCTGTTCAGTGGCCGCGTCATTTTCATAAACCAATTTCATAGAATAATAATTAGAGAACAAAAAATACATATATTTATATTAAAACACGCCCAAAATTACAGCCCAAATCCACCTATACTGTTATTTGCATTGCAGCTACATTTTAGCTTTCTCCCTTCAATACCTCACCCACCGCACCTTACAAAAGTCAGTCCACACACAGTCGCACCATTACCCTTCTCACACACAGAATCTCCCCACTTTTTTTCCGATCAAATTCCAAATTGCATTTCGTTAAACGCATGATCGATCGATCGATCTCGATAATATCTTGGATCTGAAGCCGAGCTCAATCTGCTTCGGGGGCTTACGCTTTCTGGAAGTTCTGGGCTCTCTCGTGTGTGTTTTTGGGGGTAGTAGAAGAAGATGAGTATGTACGGACGGGATCCGTGGGGAGGGCCGCTGGAGATAGCGGCGGACTCTGCCACCGACGACGATCGGAGTAGGAACCTGCAGGACTACGACAGGGCGGCGCTGTCTCGGCCGCTGGACGAGACGCAGCAGAGCTGGCTGCTGGGGCCAGGGGAGACGAAGAAGAAGAAGTACGTGGATCTGGGCTGCATTATCGTCAGCAGGAAGATCTTCGTGTGGACCGTGGGGACTATTCTGGCGGCTGGCCTATTGGCTGGATTCATCACCCTGATCGTAAAGACGGTGCCGCGCCACCACCACCGCCCGCCGCCACCGGATAACTACACGCAGGCGCTGAACAAGGCGCTCATGTTCTTCAATGCTCAGCGCTGTGAGTAAAAAAGAAAGAAGCTGTGCTTTACTGAAAATTTTACTCCTTTGTTTTTGCTTGATTTTTAGTTGTTGGCTCACTGGGATCTAACGAATCTGGGTGTCTGGTGGAGTGAAGTGGAAAGTAATTTACATTTTGATTTTCAATTTCATATTTTTGTTGACAATACGCCGGGTTTCCTTTCTCATGCACACTGTGTGTTCGGTGGTGATGGGTAGATCTGATTCCGAGAATGAGTCGATTATTGAGATCGAGAGTGTATATGAAAGTGCTAAGTAGCGAATTATAATGCTATGTTTTATTTTTTATCTTTTGCAACTGGGAGTTTGTCGATCATCATGTGCAATTTCTGAAGGTGTTTATACTATTTTTATCATCTTCTGGATCACGATCGATGATGAGCTCATCTTTTACTAACAATCAGTCGACGTTTGATCAAAAGAATGACACAATTGGGCTTGCATACTGCATTACAAAAATGTTGATGCTAATTTGAAATTATCTAACTGGCTGCATTTTTGTGGATAATCCATTAACTTGGTGTATCTAATACATCAAGAATTGTATTAAGTCTAATGGCCAATTCTTTGAATTCACAGCTGGAAGACTTCCAAAGCACAATAATGTCTCATGGAGAGGAAATTCGTGTTTAAATGATGGGAAGTCCGATTCTTCAACTCTATTTAAAGATCTTACTGGTGGCTATTATGATGCTGGGGATGCAATCAAGTTCAATTTCCCTCAGTCTTTTGCAATGACCATGTTGAGTTGGAGTGTGATTGAGTACAGCGCAAAATATGAAGCAGCTGGGGAGCTTAACCATGTGAAGGAGGTTATCAAGTGGGGAACAGATTACTTCCTCAAGACTTTTAACCATACTGCTGATACAATAGATCGAGTTGTGGCACAGGTAAACAATTTATTTTATAAGGAATTCGGGATTGCTTATAGGAGGCATTCAAATGTATTATATGCTTATAATGTTCTATCATTCTCCGCATTTGCGTTGTTACAAATATCCTTTGGCTCGGTCAATCATATTTCATATTTCCTCTGAACAATTTTGTTATATTGGCAGGTTGGTAAGGGGGACACCTCAGGTGGGCCGGAGCCCAATGATCACTACTGTTGGATGCGTCCGGAGGACATTGATTATGATAGGCCCGTTACCGAATGC